GAGAGAGAGAGAGAGAGAGAGAGAGAGAGAGAGAGAGAGAGAGAGAGAGAGAGAGAGAGAGAGAGAGAGAGAGAGAGAACCGGAATACTAGATGCGACAATGAACGCGTGAACTGAATCTCGTAATAAAGGATGCGACGAGGATATACGGAGAGAAACAACAAAATAACGACGTGGGATTCGATTTCCCGTCCTCGATGACAAATTTGCTCTCAATAAGCGAATCGCGATGAAGATCCGCAAAACGATTGGCCACGCCTGCGCAAAGCCATGGCTCACAAAAACTATTAATTAAACATTGAAAACATGACAAAGACGAAACTCGCGACCAAGAATGCTTTTCACTTGTATTATTCATTCGTGTTTCGTGCACGGCAGCCGTAACTGGTTAATCGAGTGTCGACAGAACTCTCGCGGTTTCTCTCTGCGGCAAAGATCGTCACTTCTTCTTCTCTTTTTTTTTTTGTGTTTGACCAAATGATCGGTTTGGGACGAGCCGATGCCGCGTGCGGCCCTGCGGCGTGATCCAACACACGCATGCATGGACGAAATAAGAAACGAAAAGGGAGAAGGCAGAGAGAAGAGGAGATAGATATAGAAGAGGAGAAGAGAAACATAGGGCAGACCTGCATGCGTAAGCATGTGCCCGTGCTAAGCTGTACGCGCGCGCGCATGCATGTGTGTGTATGTGTGTGACTAGCGTCGTGTATGCAACGCAACGCCAGCGGCGTACCAATATCGCCCGACCGGGTTCTCGGAATTTCCGACGGCGGTCCAAGAATTATCGCACATTAGATAGACAGACGCTCGCCGATGATATCGCACAAGCGTAACAAACAAACAAACGAATGTCGGAGCGGCGAGGATAAACATAGAAACGCACTTACGCGACGCGCCAAATTTCCTGCCGAGTTGCTCTCTTTTCCTTCCCCGCTGCCCTTCTGCAATTATTACGAAATAAATTACGCGTACGGCCGTATATTGCGTGAACTTTGTAATGCGGCCAGTTGACGTGAACGGGCGCAATAAATCACGCATGCTGTATATTAATCTCACGCACGTGAGACCGCGCAGTGATGGTCATTCGAGCGGAAAAAAGTGGAGGAGCTAATAACGCGATCGCTCTTGAAAATATGAAGAGAAATCTGCACTGGCAATAATAATGATAATAAAGTAGCAAAACAACGGCGCCCACGTGTCGCTAGTTACGGCGTTGGCGGTGAGATGCTGTTGAATGGGCCGCGGCCTATTGGCTGGTCTCGGGTCACGTGCACAGCACTAGACATTCATTCTCCCCTCGCAACTGGTCCGCGTATAATTTGCACACGCATGCTTCGGTTGCGCGCGACCACCACCGCCGCCTCCGCCGATATGACAAGCCCGTTCTCTACAGTCGCGGAGGTGTACGAGCACCTGAGCACACCGCGTAACACAGTAAGATGAATAGGAAAGAGAGAGAAGAGGAAAGACAGAGAGAGAGAAAGAGAGAAAAAGATAGAGAAAGCCGCGGCACCGCTTTGAACGCGCGAGATCGCGGCCCGCCGGGTCGTCCGCAAATAGCACAATCGACCCTCTAACCCTTATCCGGACCACCCCTTCCTCTTACCCTCCCTCCAAACTCGACGAACACGTTATTCTTCCGCGCGTAAAATATAGATACGTTATGCAAGTGTATTAACACGTACATGAATGCGATCGTCTCTGCGCATGATTAATTATTAAATCCGGACCGCGCATAAGAACACGTTCCTCCAACTTGGATGTAGCTCGGATCGATCTCGATGCGAAATTAAACGCGCACAAGTGTGTCTTTTCCGGATGTAATTGATGACCGTGTGTAATTCTACGAAGACAGAGTTGTATGATAATTAACTAAGACTCGACCGAACCAAATCGCAGACTCGAGGGAGAATTCAAGCGCAATCACCGAAGTTTCACGAATAAACAGCTGAATACTTGACTCGATTTTGCTTCGTTCTTTGATATAGTCTTCAATTTATTTATTTAATTAAACGGGAGGATGTTCCTTTAGTATATGAAAAGAGACAATATAAAATACAAAAACGAGAAAGAAAGAGATAAAATCATAAGAAAGATACAAAAAAATAAACAAACATGATCTAAGAGATAAATATAACCATAATTTAGAAAGATTTGTTAGGATGTTTAAACATATACAGAGATCAATAATCATCATAAGTAATATAATAATAATAATAAGTATTAATATCATAATAAGTGGCAATCACATAATCA